GAATGCTTGCAAGAGGTTGCAGCAAGAGGATGCAGCAAGGGGGTGCAGCAAGAAGATGCAGCAAGAAGCAGACGCTTGCAAGAGGACGATGCTTGCAAGATGTTGCTGCAGCAGCATGCAAGAGGGGAACACTTGCAAGAAGAGGGTACTTGCAAGAGGTTGCAGAAAGGGGATGCAGCAAGAAGCGGACGCTTGCAAGAGGACGATGCTTGCAAGATGTTGCTGCAGCAGCATGCAAGAGGGGAACACTTGCAAGAGGAGGATTCTTGCACAAAGATGATGCTTGCAAGAGAAGGATGCTTGCAAGAGGATGCAGCAGCAGGATGCAAGAGGTAGAGGCTGCAACACCGCCGAGGAGCCAAGCCCCAAAACAAGCCACCCTGCCCCCTCTCATCCCTTTTTCCCTCAAAAAAAACAACCCCAAGACCCCCCCCAGAATTGTTGCGACCCGGCCCGGGAATGCAGTGCCGAAACTCTCCCCCCCCCCAGACACCATCCCCAATGCAAAGATCGGGCGCGGTGGCGCGTCTTTTCCATAAAAATTCGATTTTTATTGCTATTTTTTTGTGTGTGTGGTTTTGGGGGTTGTTTGGGTTTTTTTTGGAAGGGGGAGGACTTTCCAAATGACATCGGAGGGGGGCGGGGGGAGGGAATTTAGTAGCAGGCGCTGGCGGCGTCGGAGAGCACCAGGGATACGTTGACGGAGGTGGGTTTACCCGAAGCTTTATCCACCGATTTCTGCGCCACCTGCAGAGGGATTTGCTCATGACCGACCAAGCAAGTGAAGATGTTGCCGGCTCGCCAATCCTCGCCGCTGACCGTCAAGGAACTGTAGGTGAAGTAAGAGACGGCCGGTTGCGATTCGGCGACGGGCGGCATGGTGATGTAATCGCCGGTGGGCAAAGGTTCGCCGTTGCGGAGCCAACGGACGAAAAGATCCGGAGGGTTGAAGCCTTTCACCAAGCAAGTGATGGTGGCGGATTCCTGCATGGTGAGTTGTTCGGACGGAGGGGAGAAGATGTAGATGGAGGGGGCTTTGGCGTTGCGGCCTGCGAAGAGAAGGGGGGAAGAGGGGGGCGGTTGGCAAAGCGGCGGTGCGATCGCGAAAGAGGGTGATTGCAGCCCTGTTGCCCTCAATTTTGCAAATAAACTGGGCGATTGCATCGTGCTTCCCTTGGTTTTTGCAAATAAATGAGGGGATTGCATCTCCTTGCCCTTGATTTTGCAAATAAATGGGGCGATTGCATCCTTCTTCCCTTGTTTTTTGCAAATAAATGAGGGGATTGCATCTCCTTGCCCTTGATTTTGCAAATAAAGGGGGCAATTGCATCGTGCTTCCCTTGATTTTGCAAATAATTGAGGGGATTGCATCTCCTTGCCTCGGTTTTGCAAATAAAAAGGGCAATTGCAGCGTGCTTCCCTTGATTTTGCAAATAATTGAGGGGATTGCATCTCCTTGCCTCAGTTTTGCAAATAAAAAGGGCAATTGCATCCTTTTTCCCTTGATTTTGCAAATAAACGAGGCAATTGCATCTTCTTGCCCTTGATTTTGCAAATAAAGGGGGCGATTTCATCCCTTGGCTTTGCAAAACAAAACGGTGGAATTGCACCTCGATTTTGCAAAACTCAACGGCCCGATCGCCTCCTCCTCTCCCTGGCTTCACCCTCCCCTCCCAAAAAAACGCCACCAACGGTGACGCAATCGCTCCTTGCCTTTGCGAAAAGAAACGGCGCTTGCGCCCGTTTCCCCCCCGCAAATCGCAATCGCGATGCACCGGCGCCCGTTTTCCCGGTTTTTTTGCAACCCGCCGACGCTTCTCCCAACCCAACGCCCTCGGACTTACTGGGCGTCTTCTGCAACTTGACTTCGGCGGGGAAGAGGAGCTCGGGGTGGCTGACCTTGCACGTATAGATCTCGCCTTTATCCCACTCGTCGGCGTAGACGGTGGCTACGCCGTCGACGCTGAAGAACCCGTTGGGTTGCAAGACTTGAGGCAACATCTTGATGTCCAACTTCCCGCCGTTCTCCTTCCACCAAGAGATGACCAACCCTTCCACACCCGGTAGGTTGGTCACCTTGCACGTCAACTTGGCCACTTTATCCTTGAAGATATCGGCGAAGACGGGCGGGACAACCTGCACCGTGATCTCTTCGTTGTTGTTGCCATGGTCATCTGGAAAAGGGCGCGGTTGATCGTTTTGGGAGATGGTTGCCCCCCCCACACCCAAAAATACGTCTCCCAACCCTACCGCTGCCGCGGTTGACCTCACTTACAGCCGCATTCCAGAGCTTTGCTGGTGTTCCTCACGTCTTCGTCCACTTGGCAAGTGAAGACGGTGCCAGCATCCCATTCGGCTTCGGTAACGGTTGCCCAGCTGTTGGTGATGTAAGCCCTTTTGCTGTCGGCCACCGAACCTTCGGTGGTGATTCCGTCTTTTAGCAAAACCCCGTTTTTCAGCCACCGGACGGCGGCGGGCAGCTGCCGGGATCCGCGGACTTGGCAAAGGATGCTGGAATTTCGGTAGGGACCTTCGAAATCCTCGTGGGACGGCGGGTGGATGGTGATGGTGGAGGTCACGGAGTTGGGACCTGGCGGCGGAACGGGGGGATGGAGAAGGGGTGAGGGGGTGGAGAATCCCAAAATGGCACCCGGGGGCGTGGTGGGGTGCGCCAGGGGGGCACCGGGATGGGGGTGGGATGCAGAGCCGGGATGCCGGGTGAAGATGTAGCTGGAGGGGGATGCAACGGCGGGATGCAGAAGCACCGGGAGGCAGCTGCAGCGCTGGGGCGCAACGCCGGGTTGCTCCGGGGGAGGATGCAATGCTGGGATGCAGCAGCACCGGGATGCTCCGGGGAGGATGGAATGCTGGGATGCTCTGGGGAGGATGCAACACCGGGATGCTTGGGGAAGGATGCATCAGCACTGGGATGCTCTGGGAAGGATGCAACACCGGGATGCTTGGGGAAGGATGCAGCAGCAC